GGAAGAAAGAAAGAAAAAATGAATCCGTTACTTTCACGACCAACTCTATTTATCTTCTCGTATGTATGTACGTAATCCTTGATCGCGTATCAAGAATAAGAGGCGTGTTTAGCAAACAAGCGTCCAAAATTACAACAATCTAGCGTCTCCGTGGTCCACGCGAATATCTTATATCTCGAGCAGCGTTCCCTAAAAATACGATGCACTATTTTTATCGACGGATTTCTATCTCTTTCTCTTCTTCGACAAGAGGACGAGAGAGGGGGGGAGAGAGGATCGAAGAAAGAAAAGGGAGCGAGAGGAAAGAAAAAGAAGGGAAACGACAAGAGAGGGGTTAAAAAATTCACACGAACGAACGTCTCTGCACGAGGAGGTGCAGTAACCGGGTTGTAACCGGGTCCTAACTATATTTTTAAACCGAAACGAAAACTATCACCGTGATCTTGATCGCGATCTCGCCGTTATTTGCCAAGTCGCTGAACGTCAATCGTGAATATATATATATATGGCGTCTCGTTTCGCATTTCTCTCCCTCTCCCCAATGGCATCGCACGAACGATGAACGTTTTAATCTCTCTGCTGCCGTTGACAGTGTAACGATACAGGCAACGATACATCCATGGTAATTGGTGTGATGCGGGCATCACGAAGAAACGGCCCCGCAAGGTTGTGTGGCCAAATATAAAGCGAGTCTTTTTTTGTCTAATTAAAGTGTTCGACGAATTGATAGACGGGAAACGATCGATCACGTGGGATCTGTCAGCTTAGCGGATAAGTTCTCGCGTTCGCACACGAGATTCACGCCCGTTTTGACCGACGATGCAACAACCTATGTGCCTCACCTATGCAATTTTCAAAGGGAGGTACACAGTTTGAAGTGGGCAGATTAATTTTTTATATAAATTTATATAAATTTATCGGATCTGTTATGAAAATGTACACGAAAATCTCACGATCTTTGGGAATTTTTCCAGCTTGTTTTTATTAACCACCCGAACCATAAAAATTATCAAACGCATCTCTCGCATCTCTCCCTTCCCCCTCTTTTTATTTTATTATCCTAAACGTTGTATCAATCTTAGAAAATCGTAACGATTTTTTGGTGAATCCTGTCAAAATGATATAGAAGAAAAAACGAATATTTTGTACGATTATATTAAAAATATCGAGAGAGAAGGAGGGAGGGAAAGAAAGAGGAGAAAAAGAAAGAGCGAAGCAGAGGTAAGTGTATACGGCGTGTCGGAGCAATTTCGTATAGATGAAAAGCTCGCGTGTCAGTGAACAGCGTGAAAAAAGTTCGAGGTTGGCCAATTCATCAAGAACCCCTAGATAAACGAGTGGCCCCCATTAAAGCGATTACCTCGTTAAGGCATTGTCTCCATTGGCATTAAATCGGTGTCACATAGGCCCATGAATATACACGGATATACCATATGTAACGCGGTCATGAGAACTTGCTTCCAAAATTTATCCAAACCGCGTTGCAGATTATTTATATACAAGTCAGATACGATAACAAATACATGTGTGTGCGTGTGTGTATACGCGCACGAAACATGCACGTACGCGGGCAGATCCGCGTTACACTTTTTTTTTTTTTCTTTTTTCGCGGAACACAACGAGTTCTCGGTTATACTCTATGGCACGCGCGGAATAGTTGAGAAGGATTGCGGAACCGAAACCGCGGGCTAAATCCGGCGCGGCTTCCCATTATCGTCGATACAAACGTTATCGTACGTGCTTCTTATCGTAATCGCGATATCAACCATGGGGGCGAATTAAAATAACCATGTGTCGCGGTGCATTTGAACGCCGTAGCGAATCCGGACAGATAATATTATTACCCCTTGTTTTTATCACCAGATGATACACCATCGATCGATCCGCATCGATTACAGCGTAATCGAGCGGCTTTCGGGCATTCGATTCTAATGTTCTAATGTTAATGTTCGCGAAAGCGAAGGATGACTCACTATTTAGCGCAGTCAATTAGTTGGTACTCGTTACTCCTTTCGAAACTCTGTTGAACACCTCGGTCCTTCCAAAGGGCTTCGACGATATCGTAGAACTCCTGGAAGCACGAATTACAATTATTCGATTAGTGAATCATCATATAATTGGAAGAAGAAAAAATGACGGAGAAGATGAGAGGGAAATAACGCTCGAAAATAAATGATCCGCGCGATCGAATCCGTGGGTTAAATTTGCAAATAAGTTCACGGTTTGGCGGCCGTTTCTATCGCGTCTCATTAATTATCTAAGAAAACGTGCGACTCTGACGAAACGGAAAATTTGGCTCGAACGCCAACGGCCACTATCGTGACCACGGAATACTCGGTCAGAGACGCGTTTGGTCCACGAGAAAAAAAAAACGATTCCGCCGACTCGACTTGTACGAGGAATCGCTCGTCCCGTTATCGACGAAAATATTTTCATTTTTTAATTTTGTCGTGTGCGGTGATCGCCACACTGGCTTTGCACGCGCGTATTATCCGTCCCCGTATAAAAATGGATATCGACCAGGATATCAGAGCCAAGATAAATATTCGAATAACATCTACCGAACCGTTGTGGGGACAGGGAAGAAAAGAAAGGAAAAGAAAAAAAGAAAAAAAAGGCGACAATCGCGATAACTCTCGAATCGAGGTGTAATTTAATTTCGAAACAGCCGAGATATCAACGAGCATTAATTTAACGAGCGTAACCAGGAAAAATTGATCGTGCGCTTATTGTTTGCATCAAAGCGAGAAGTCGTAAGTCTTTTAAGAATTGCTAAATTTTTGTTTTTTTTTTTCGAGAGAGAAAGAGAGAAAGAGAGAACAATTCACGATCGTTAAGCCAATTATCTCGATTTCCCCTTCGTCTTCCTTCGCATAATACATAATCCAAGCTGTATAATCGAACGTGTATAAAAAATCGTGGAAATTTTGGATCGAGATTATCACGAAAAATATAAACGCGACGGTGACAATTTTAGACGGTGGTCAGGTTAACCTTTCCCGCAAATTTCGTTCGAACGTTTATTTTGTTATATTTTCGTTGAGCAAGGATTAACCGCACAGATGCGGCCGATGACGGTGGTCAAATTCGGTGTAGAATTCGACTCGAAATAAACTTCCGTATCCTCGACGAGTGACGGCCAGATATGCAAAAAGCGAAACGACAGTGACAAATTGGACGCGGCTCGTCGAATGGCGAAACGGAATAAAAGATAGCCTGCTGCCTGACTTCCTCTTGACACAAAGACGCGTTTGTTCGCACGCATAAATGCCCCTCTCTTTCTCTCTCTCTCTCTCTCGATATACGCATACCGTTACGCGTATATCGTAGAAATTCAAATTTAAACCCTTCACCTTACCCGATCAACGGATGAACTATCTTTACTCGTGCTCGTAGGTGTTTTGCATCCGGTACATCGAAGGTATTTAGATAAAAACGTCGAGCAAAAATCCAGACAGTTTTCAAGTTGCTCCAAGTCACGTGAAAACTCGAGGGCGAGTTAATTCGATTAATTCGAATGCATCGTTCTTCTCGATGCTGGCTGTCGAATCGCGGTAGACAGAGAAGAACGAGAAATACTACGACAATTTCACGATCCTGCAAACGGGGCTACGAGAGGTAGGCGAAAAGTATATGTACACATGCACGCACGTAGCAGAAACTGCCAGTTGAATGACGCAAAACACATGGATTATTTTGTCGCGACGACTTTATTTCGAGATGCGCCGTTTCGACGATTCGAAGCGTTCGCGGGTCTCTCGAACTCTCCGAGATCTTTCTTGGCACGGGAAAAATCATTATTCTCGCCGAGTCGTGGCACAAGTTTCTAACTGGCTGAGAAAAAAATGTCAATGCCTCTTCGACCCCTAATCTCGCCAAAGGGGGATGATATTGATCTCCCCTGGACATCGCGAAAAAGATTTCATTCAACACTGTTGGCCTTTGTCTGCTTGTAAAGGCGTCGTCGGGAGGATCGCACGTCGATAAATTCTCCGAAATGTCATCGATTCGAAGTTACATAAGACGAATTCGTCAAATTTCGACGTGGCGTGCACGAATTCTTCATACGAATGAAGAAGAAATCGGCGGATCTTTAAGGGATAAGTCGCGTTGGCAACTTGGTTGCACGTTTCAAAGAGGCGCGGCAGAATTGCTGGCCTGAATATAAAACGACTAAACGGGTTAAATAACGTGTACCCGTGCTCGCTCGTGTCGTAATATTTTAATGGTACACCCTCCCCTGTTTTCCCCTAACTAATTTCACCGTACGATTCATCATACGCGCCGGCTTGTGAAATTACGCGATCACATACCGCAACATTCTTGTCTCCCGCTTATAATCGCGCGCTCTCCTCGAAATAATGCATTAAAATCATCACGGTGACAAAATATTAATTCTACCTTCCTTCTCGTCGTATAACGCGCATCGTTAATCGTGCTAATCGAAGATGGGAGATCGATGCGATTTCGTAAAATAGGATGGTACGGCTTAACCTGGACGAGAGTCAAAATCCACGATTCCAAAAATATTCGAATCTCGTTTCAACGCCACGAGAGATTTAATACGGATTCACATCGAGGAATATTTCTTCCCGAAACTTGATTCGCTTTCACCGTGACAGGGTTGGATAATCGAAGTAGTGCACAGTAGTCGATCGACACAAAGATATACACGAGCGCATTTCGTGTACGAGGTGGGGAATGGCGCAGCACATCATAGCCAGAACACTGTATAGCACACCAACATGTGCGATGGCTGTGTAAACATTGTAAACACCGATCATGCCACACAGTGGCTCTCACGCGACGAAATTGTTGCCAATTTATATAGCGATCGTAAATTCTGACAATATTTCGCGATACCATAAAAGCACGCCTCATCCGTACGTGAGATACAAGGGATAATACGTTGCGACTGTTTGACATTACTTTATCCTCTCTCTCTCTCTCTCTCTTGTATAATAATATTCACACTTCCAACAAATGCAAATGATAAATTAAATGCGATTAAATTAAGTGCCGCGTATTTCATCGGTCGCCAGATACCGATCTTTTATTCGACCGAAGAAAAACGACAGTGAACCACTTGCGAAGACCGTAACGCATTTTTCATTGTATTACATTAAGAAGATACACATATATAAAAGCACGTGGAACAAATAAGTTGACTGTGACTCACCGGGGGATAATCGAAGTCCGGGGAGTTTGAGACTTCCTGGATATAGTCGACTTTGCTCTGATTCGCCGGATCCTCCAAAGCAACGGGTGGCGTTAACGTGCTCATCGCGCCGGTTATCGTCTGAAAAGGAACGCACATCTGATTCTGATGGAGAGGAAGAAAGAAGAGAAAAGAATAGAAAGAGAGAGCAACAGTTTCCACGCGTATCGATAGAGCGTGCAGTTGTTATTACGATTTGCCGACGATTACGTTATCGCGAACAATAAAAAAAAAAAAAAAGAAAAAAAAAAAGAAAGTAGCATTCTTCGCAGGAGTTTAATGCGAAATTACCATTTCGCCCGTATCTATCTTTACACACGCAGATAATATGTCATTCATAATCCTTAAGTGCCACGGGGCAGGCTTGTCTATTACATTCACCCGACATACGGAAGCGATTGCAAGGTTACAGACGATACGCGTATCTAAACACGGCCTCGAACGACAAATTGATGACAGCACGCTGCTCTCCTCGACACGGCGCGTTAAACCATCACGAATTTACGGGCGCATCACGTAACGTTAATGACGGGACGCCCGTCGAAACGGGCGCGTTTACACGCACCTCGCGTATATACCGCAACTTTGACTCAGAAGAAATCGCACGGAAGAAAATTTTTATTATCACGTTAAAAAAAAAAAAAAAATTGTTCGACTCTCCTTCCTTCGTTGCAATACCATCGGTATAGAAAACATCAACGCTTTAGTATCGATTTAGCTATAAATCACTGAATTCCCAGAATATACCGCGTTATTCAACGTGTTTCGCGAATATTACTCCGAAAGGATATTTTCGGAAAAGGCAAGCGTGTCGCATCGTTAACCGAGGACACATCTACGCTATGAGACTAAGAGTTATTAATAAATATAATTGTGTTGAAGAATGATATCGAGTTGCTCTTTTTTTTTTTTTTACTGATACAATTTTTCACAAAATATATCGAATGCAATCGAATATTTACGAGATGTAGTAGTAGTGTAATAGTAGTAGTGTTATCGATATCATAATAAGATCTGCCACTTGTTACGGATAATTATCTTAGAGAAACGAAAAAATAATATAGAGCACACAACACATTACACAAGTTATTTTATCTTATTTTATACACGTCCCGAAGAATGATGATTATAAGATCCACACATTGGAATAAAAATAAACAGTAGGCATAATCTTGAACGAGTGTTGAACGCCGCGCGAAATATGAAATTGAATAGCGTAAACAAATATCGAAAAAGGAACAATTCTTACCAGTATCGCGTCTCTGATGTTCTTTTTGATGTCCTCGATTTTTTGCCGCTTTTCCCTGCACAGAAAAGCGTGAGAAACAAATGGTGTACTTCATTCTTCGATCTCGATCTCGATTAATACATTTTAATGCCGTGCGAAAAAAAGAAACCGATAATTCAACATGACGATTATTACTATGATTATATTACTATTTCGATTATATCGAAACAACACAAACTCGAACGTATAGATACACTATACGTGTGTATTTTCATTATTAGTTTCGAAGTCATTCGGTAATTTTAGATCGCACGGCATCACGCCAGTTTCAGTATAACGATTTCATCAATTTGGAGACATATTGGAAATTTCGCGTTGGATCTAAATATCGACGATCGATGGACACGAATCCTTCCTTCTATTCTTCGTACAATGGATTTTCATGTGGGCCTTGTTCGTTTTATGGCCTGTGCCAGCCTTCCATCGTCACTTGTACAAAGTTCGTTTAAAACTTTCGTGTATATCATGTATATATGTCATATGCGTACAAATACATTATAAAATAACAACAATCGTGATCCAAGTTCACATTTTTATCGAATTATTATTCCGTTCAAGTTGTTTACAGACAATATAATGTTGTTATTGCCGCTATTATTCGCAATTAAAATTTTTTCTTATGCCAAAAAATTCATTTTTTTTTTTCTACTTCTCTATTTTTTCTCCCTCTTCTTTCGACTTCTTTGAACGATCTCTCAATTTTTGATATTTCGAATTTATGTGACCGCGGATTAAAAAGATTCGCGGCCTATTACAAGCGTTATTCGAATACAAGAATGCTAAAAATAATCGAACGACCGCCTACATCAACGATTTTACCGCTTAGGATTATACGTTAAAAGTTTCGTTTTGTTGTTCCCGTTAACCGTGCTCCAAAAATTTCTACTACAAATGTAAATATATTTATGTAATTCTATTTGCTTAATTGAAACCAATTAAAATTCCTAAGATTGTTATCATGTAGATCGTGTGATCGAGGCCAGACAGACAATCAAGAATGAATTTGTACCTATGTTATATGCAAAAATGCCAGAGGGTAGGAAAGTAAAAGGAAGAAGAGAAAAAAAGACTAAAAATACGCGAGGTTGTATGGTATGTTTCCATAGTAAACAAGCGAAATCTGCATCAAGCGCGTTGAACACGTAATGCTTCTTAGAATCGCGTCGCTAGCAAAAAACAGCCTGTGAAATTCGACGATGGAAGCACTTTCCCGCGATTTCATGCTGAAGCAAATCCAGTTGTTCGTATGCGAATATTTGATAATGCGCGAACAATTTTCATGGAAGAAACATGAAAAGAAAAAGAAAAGAAAATAAGTGGAAAGAATGGGAAAAAACGAATGAAAAATAAAAAAAAAAAACGAATGAAAAAGAAATCACCGCAAAACGTAATAAGTAATAAGGCGCGCGTTCGGGTTCGTTATCAGAGCCGGAGGCAGACAGAATTTACGACACACACGAATCGGGCCGAGCCAGTCTGTTTGCACGTCGTTTTCATTCTATCTAGTTGCTTCTGATTTTCCACGTATACCGACATTCTTTATACGATAACGATTTGTTTCTGTCTGGCCTGCATCGTTTCGCGACTTTATTTTTGATCCGCGTGCTTCCCAACACGAACAGCTGGATGTGAAAATGGATCGATCAGCGAAAAACAAGAAAAAATATTGAATGACTATATATTATGCTTATAGAAAGATTATGTAAAAGAATTACAATTTAATAAGAATTATATTAATACTTATGACAAGAAAATAGAGCAAACATTAAAATATTAAATATAAAAGAAAGTCACAAAAAAAAGAAGTCTAATTTACTGGAGCCACGTGTTGATATTGCAATCACGCGATGGATCGAATTAGTCGCGAGTTGAATCATTTCACAAACGCACATTAATGAGAAGAAAAAAAAGGACTAGAGGTTATATATCAGTCATGTTATATCGAATACATTCATACGTGTTGTATGAATAATATCGAATATTAGATTGGTTTTAAAAAAAAGCTATAATGGAGCAACGAAACTTACGCTTCGCTGAAACCATCCACGTGCAATATCCTCATCTGTTTGACGATGGTACTCTTCCCAGACTCTCCCGCTCCTAAAACATAAAATGCGATTTTTCCTCTTCTTTCTTTCTTTTTAGCAATAAAAAAGAAAAAAAGGAAATAAAAAAAACAAAATAGTTCTAATATGTATATATATATATATATATATATGTATGTATATATGTATGTATGTATGTATATATAAAGATCGATATTGATTTTTCATACGATCATTTGGAAGGTTATTCAATGAACACGTAAGACAATAGCATATTATCGTATTTTTTTTTGGAAAATAGGAATAGTAAACGGAAAACAGAATCGTAATTGCACACGGTAGGGGAAACAATACAGTAACAGCTGTTGCTTCGTAGCCTACAGCTACGAATCGACTATACGCAACACACAACACACGTCCACACGTCGAATTAGAACGACGACCTACATAAACGAAGAATAGGAAGGTAATGGCTAGGTGTTGGGTTAAGTATCGCAATAAGTAGATAGTATGTGTGCATGTGTGAGAGCGCACGCGCATATCCATGTTGGCTGACTATGTGAAAAAGACTTCGGTCGAGAGAAGGAGAAGAAGGAGACGAAGAGAGCGACACGAAAAGGGTACAACACGAGCCAGCCAGCTCGCTGGATATTCGTGGGTGCCGGCTCATACGATAATCGATAAAATTGAATTACGCGCTGCTGAACATCGCGATAATGTTCGGCCTATCCTCTGACCGGACGCTTTTTGTCCAAAATTGGTGATCGAAGTCGATTCAACTGGTATTCTAGCGGAAATTTTCTCTGTTTGTGACACGTGTACACAGATATAGACTATACTATATCTAAAAAAGAATATCTATAAAAGAAAATATCTCAAACAAAATAAAAGATCTTATGAGAAAGATATCATAATCGAAATGCATAAAGATTAAGATAAGAAGGAATGAAAAATTTAACGAAAATTTACTTACCAAGCAAAAGAAGTCTGTGAGTAGCTCGGTAAAGTTGTTTATCCTTTTGCAATTGCCTAGTAATGGCATCCGAGCGCCTCTTCTGGTTCTTGCTGTCATCCTGGCTGGCCTTACTGCTCTGGCTGCCGAAACACCCCATGACACACCACGAGAGAGACACGCGCGGCTCACCCTCTTCGCTCTTCCCTTCCACTTCTGTTGTTCTCTGTTGTTTCAGTTCGGAGAAAGACAATCTCACCACTATATTACTCCCGAATAAGAGAGAATAGACTCGCGCAACGAGTCTATCGTCAACGCGTGTTTATCTCGTGTGAATGTAATGTTCGATAAGTATATTCTCTATCACCGCAATTCGTAGAGATTCACTTCCTTTCGATGTATACCTACTATAAGTTCGTTTCTTCTTTCCGGCCGTGTCTGTCACTCGATACTTATCACCGTGTCGTACTTCTCCACTTCTCGAGTTTTGTCCTTCTATCAAATTCTCTCTATCTCTCTCTCTTTCTCTTCTTCAATCACTATCTCTCTTTCCCTCTTTCTTAATAATGTTCCTCTCTTTCGCTCTCTTTCTCTTATGTGCTAATCTTTTTCCTTTTCTGATTGTCGCCCCTTTACTATCTCCGCTTTTTACACTACTAACAACTACGCATCTGTATGTCTTGATGTTTTCTCAATTACACTACACTCGATTCACTTCACAACTTTTTTTTCACTATTTCGCACTACCCGCGAAACCATAGCTATACACGATCGACGACAGTGCTGCTGGTCCAACACACTAACTTCGATGTCTTGTGCGTGCCGAATATGAATATACAGAAAAGATAGGATCACAATGATTTATTGAGTATGGGTGCTAAATACTGGAGTTTCTAGGAGGGCAATCTGTCGTGGGGAAGCGACGTTTACGGGTCGTAACACCTGGCTCGATAATAAATTGATCCACTTAAACGAAAATAAGCGAATCGTGTGATGACACTGAACACGATTAAATGCTTGTTGATACAATGAGAAAATAATGATAATATAGAAGAAATCGAATCACTTCCGAATTTTCGGTTTGACACTGATGAAAAACCGGCCGCGAAATACTCGCTGCAGGTTGTGATAGAGAGAGTACACACGAGGCACGATGAACACTCGAGAGTGGGAGCAAGACCGGGACTGGGATAATAGGTTGACGTGCACTGTCTGATGCGCCTCCTGTGATGGCCCGCGAACACGAGGCACACGCGAAATCGTTTCAGAAGGAAGGGACTCGTACGCGTGTATACGACAGCTCGACCTCGCCTCGCTTCACCACACAGCCCCTACCTTCAGACAGAACAACGAGAAGTTAAAATAGATCGGCTCTGGTGCGCTACTACCTCTTTATTCGAGCAAATTGAAGAAAGTCGTGGAATCGACAACTCCCATAAATAAGGAAGATGATTTACGCGATTGAGTAGTTTGCACTGATTTTCTTTAAGTCGCATGAACTTTTTCGTACTTCAGTCCCGATAATCTTTCTAAGTTCTTAGACTCACAAAAAAAACCTTTACGCACCAGAAATTTTCGAAATTTTTTCTTCTTTTTCTAATTTTCGTTTCGTTGACTCCTCAATTTTTCGAGGGCTCGTCCGGGTTCCCCCTCCCCGCCGCTCGTTAGTCTCTACCCCTCTCCACGAGCTTCTTGTCGACGACCGCGGCACAACCACCACTCGGGGAACCCAACCGTGTGCCCTCTCTCGCACACACCCTCGAGTGGTCTTATTTTCTTTCCACCTTACTTTCACCACGTTCGCTCACTCTCCTCACTCAAGAATCCCCGAAGAAATTCGCGACCAAAACATCCGAGACGAGGTACTCCCTGCAGCCAACATGTCGTCTGCTAGGCCCACCAGCGCGGCGGCTCACCGCGCTTGAGATAGATCAGGTTCGTATCCTGACTTTTAGGCGCCCTGTTCTTGAAATAATACTTTTATCACTCTTTTCTTCGCGAAAAAACTTACAATGATATGCACAACACTGTCTTACGTTCGATCTCTTGTTTAAAATTTTTCGATAGATTCACTCCGAACTCGGGGGCCAACAATCTGTCTTGTGAAGTGTTAATGCATTGACTTTAGCGCTATCTGTAACATATATTGGAACTAAATCGTTATACTGCGATATATTCATGTGTACACACATGTACATTTCGATGTTTTCATGTACGTTTAGTTCCGTGGATATGACAAGTGCGCTATGATCAATCCATATATGTGTGCGTATATCATGTGTAAATATTCATATATACTAAGTAGATATAGTTACCGATTAAACTATAATTATTCAAATTTCATTATTTTTTTTTATAGAATTAATATCAATATAAAAATAAAAATGAATATAAAATGAATATAAAAAGATTTTTTACTTTAGCAATATTTATTTCTACAATTAGTTCTACTTCTACACCGGTATTAAAATTATTGCCAACGTTATCAACATGGCTACCAACATATAGTTAACAGTAGGTACCAACAAATTGATCTTATAATATTTAAAAACTAGAATAAAAAAAGATTTATTATATTTATATAATTTTTAAATATTAATCTGAAATATAAAAAATTTAAAATAACGAACAGAATATTTAAAATAAATTATACAAATATTATAATTACATTACAATTATCATTGTTCTTATTTAAGAATAAAGGATTTTAAAGGATCTCTTTAAAGAATTAATTCTAAATATTGAAATAAATACAAAAATTGACATGCAAAAATTTCAATTCAAACTTATTTTTTAAATCATAGGCAATTTTATTTTGTACTAAATGAAATGAGATAGAGAGAGAATAAAACAACTCAGCTGATCAGCAGTACCGTATCACAATATTGTGATTATTAGTATTACCTTTATATATTAAAATCTAAATATTCATATGGAATTTTAAAAATTTTTTAATAAAAATTGAGACTAATTGGAATAAATATAATAATCTTATTTGATCTTTTACAACAAATTTAAAATAATAATACATAACTTGATATTGATTATATTAATAATATACAATTAAAAGTGCCATTTTATACAAAAATTATGTAAAAACTTGCAATTATATAATAAGTTAATTTTCATGAAATTAAAAAAGCAAGTTTTAAAAATTATACAATTTATGGTTATTGATGCACCATCTAGTGATGAACAAACCTAACTATTAATCAGATAATGAAATCGAAAAGAATCTAAATTTTTAAGTTTTTTAATTTTTTAATTTTTATAGATTGAATAGTACATTTCGTCAAAATATTTGTATCATATATATTTGTTATCAGAATTATATATTATTATTTTACGAGATTGTAAAACTAAGAATGTAATATTTATATTTTTTTATATTAAATTATATTATTACGATACATTAAGTCTCAAAAGATATAAAATAATGAAAATATATTTAATTAACATTTGTATATAGACAAGAAGAATAAATAATAGAAAAATAAAGATATAATAAAAATATAGAGTATTTCAGCATGGATTATTTCATTATTTTATCGATTCAAAAGAGATGGATTGAATCAGTTTCATAGAGATTATTTTATTCACAATTATACTAATTTTTGAATTTATCAACTATATTTTAATATATACACATGAATTATATACACATGAAAAAATTAGAATTATAGACTTTATATAGATAAATATTTAAATTATACAATGATAATTAATTAAACGAGTTCTATCACACCACATGGCTGTTAAAAATTAAAACTTTGATTTTGGAAACAAAATTTTTTTTATAAATTGTTAAAATTTATAAAATAAATCAGAATTTTAATATTAAAAAGTTGCATACAAAAGTTATATGTGTTTAAAAACGTATATTTTATTTCAAGAATTACATTGGTCGCCATATTGTCTAGTTAATGAAAAATTTTCCATTTCCATTTCCTGCAATAATAGTGCTACACACATATTATCGATAGCTGGTAACATTGATATCTGTAAACTGATTAAAGATGATATTTTGGCGGGATATATTTTTAATATTTATACATAGTGAATTCGAGCATTCTGCGATTCGAAGGACATATCTTTTCGACAAATTCACCTTGTAGAAAAGATTAATTTAAATCTTCTGAAAAAGATGCTGGAAAACTCAAACAAAAAGGACTCTAACTTTATAAAAACATTTTTTTCATTTACTGATTGTTTATTACTTACTTTTCATTTATTTATCAAAGATTAAGATCTTTCGCATTTTTCTTATTTCTATTTTTTTTTTAACTTATTGTTTTTTTCAAGCAATCGTACGTGGTATCATACATTCGAAATCTTCATGAAAAGTATAAAAAGGAATCAATGAATCAAAATTTCTCAAACAGAAAGATTTTCTATTATATTCTGATTTATATAAATGCTATACAAAAATGTATAATTTTACAATAGATTAAGGATATATTAACGAATAATAAAATTCAAATATGAAAGAGTATTTATAAAAAATGAATTTATCTATATGTAATAATTCGTAAATAATTCGTAATTCGTAGATGCATTATGAACTTTAATGCTCAAATGTTTTGATGTTCAAGGTTACTTGATTTGGCATACCACAGAATCTGGTATTTCCATCACCAAACTGAAGTAATTGGGGAATCCCAGCTATTTGTCGTGCTGCATTTTTTTCTCGTAACCAGTTCGGTAACCGCAATATTATACTCACAATTATTTTTTGTTCACTAATATTGGATCGTATAACTCAAGAATATTTTTATGTTACATTACAAAAAATATCATATTTTATAATAATAAATAATAATAATAATTAATTATTATAATTATTATAATAATTTCGATTATTAAATTTTTAATTTTATTTTACTTACTTACAGTCGAAAGACTATTAAGATGATTAATAGAATCCCCTCTCTTCCAAGATCCAAATATATCTCAGAACCTGTGCACTTCACAGACCAAACTCCCCCAAAAAGGAATAAGTCTATAGGCTTCTGAGAATGCCTAGACCATTACACATTATAAACTCAAAATAACCAACAGCCGGTTCTTGCTCCACATTTTTACGAATGCTTTGTCTTTCTTTACTTTTTTCGTAAATTTGCACTTATTTCTCGATAAATTAAATCGAATTAATAAATATTAATTCTAATAAAATTTCACTATTCGTATACGTTAATATAAAAAAAGTTTTAAAATTTATGATGAATTTTTTAAAGTCTTTTATTACTAAAAGAATAATTACGGACGTCTTATAACAACACTAATGTTGTCGTATTATTACTGTTGATACTATAAAACGATATGTCTACAATATTAATAAAACTTGACTATGTACAATCAGGAGAGGGAAAACGAATGAAATTAATAAATTTACAATAAAATATCGTAATTCTGGTGTAGTAATACCCGAGTAAATTATTTATACAATCCTTGATAAATATTCCTATTCATAAGTGTTATTTCTGTTTCTTAATTTACTTAATATAAATATATATATGTACACTGTAAAACAAATAATAAAATTATAAATGTTTTGTTATATACTACTTTTTCTACTTCTTTTTATCAGATTTCTCTCATCATAATACACTTTCAAACATATTAATATCATTGATACATTCTCATATCATTCAACAAAAATATTTTATATTTTCCTCTATATTTACAGTCTCCTAAGCGTAAATGTGAATTCTTTGTATTTAATTTTCACAATAATCGTATCATTATTATTTTTCGTATTAACGAAGCATTGACGTTGCTTCTCACAGAAAAGATATATTTATCTCTTCGTTCGTCTCTCGTTTTATCGTATAATTTTTCGTTTTTTTTTCTTTTTCGTTTTTATGATACATTTTACATTCATGTTACTAATTAATTTTAACTAAATAAAACATATTCGATTTATTATGATTAATATTTGAACTCGACGGAGTGCGAATTATTTTCGTCTATCCTACATACCGGTATCGTAATGCGTAGCCAGAAATGAGGCTATTCAATATGTCCATAATAATCGAAAGATATAAATACTCGTACAACGGACAAAGCTAAAACGCTAGTCAAATGATTAATAGCCGCGTTTATGTTGATATCGTTTACATTTTGTTTAAGGTAAATTGTTAGCAGAACTTTCGTCTTCGTCAGTGGTATCTGAATCTGATTCAGAAAGTGGTTCCGGTGTTGCACCCAATCTTACTAATTCCCTTGCAAGTTTATTATCATAGAGCAGGGCTGTCTGATATGCGGTTTTCCCAGCATAATTTGGTGTATCTAAACAAGGCCTACATTCTTGAAGGAGGAACGCGATCACTGACCGACAATTACGTTCTATAGCGAGATGAAGAGCCGTTTGTCCTGCTAATCCTTCTCTGGCGTCTAGATCCGCTCCACGACGCACCAAAAGTCGTACGAGCTCCACATGATCCGATGAAGCGGCTATATGTAAACACATTTGTCCTGAAACATAAATTCATGTCGAATGAATATTTTCGAATTTTGAAAATGTCATTATATTTGCTTAATCAGACAATTTTAATTCATCAGGATAGAAATGCCTGCTTCATAATGATGCGATGGAGTCACATGCTTTTGAAAGATATAGATAGAACTAGGAAGATGCGGTGAATCATTGTCGTCTTCTTTTGGCTGGCGTCCCGTGGTCCAAACTAGGTTCGTACCGATCAAAGTAACTGCTAAAATTAACCCTCCGTTGTTACCACTAGCAGTATGTACATTGGCGGAATGTAATTTCATTGCAGTTGAGTCTCGCAACAGAAAGATTTACAGAACTCTACCGCATAAATATTGATATTTCTATTCTTATCGAAATGTTTGTATGACACATGAAATATAATAAAAGAGAGAAAAAAATGTAATTTATATATATTTTGAAATTCCCCATACATGAGCGATATCATATCGGTAATTTGTAAATATAATCTTAAAACCCGTCTAAAAATTAAATAAATTTTGTTGCGATATTCGTGATAAAGTATATAATAGGATCGAAAACTATGAAAAGAATCTAGACTAAATCTATCCTTTATTTTATTTTTCGAAGAAAATGTTTAACAGCGAAAGTCCACTGATTTCCGCGCCATTGTGGAGTTTCCCATTCGAATCGAGTTGAACCGAGTTGTGGAGCATGAATATCACGACACACAAATAGTCGTGTAGGTATTTTTAAATATTAAAAACATCTGCTACAGGCTTTCTGTCTCATCGCACGCCTTGCGTGATGTAACGCGCGTACCCGCTCGTGCAGACGACGCGCCAAAATTCCTTCGTGTGTATTCCGAGCTTAAAATCGCAACACTCTTTTCTTCTTACTTTCTTCTTCCTATCTAATTTTTTTATCCGTAAAATTTTCTAAGTGCCAATTCATCAATCGCAAATCCTTGATATTGATATGTAATATTGAATCATACGCAAAAAATTATGTGTCTTATATTTTCTTAATATCAGCCTAATTTCAATATACATACATATACTTTTCCATTCGACTCGATAAAATAATACACGCATTTTACCAATCAATAAAATTATAAATGTTCACCGGATATAATAAAATACGATCAAGTATAGCAACAGACAGCGAATCTGTAATTAGATTGAAAATTGTTCCATAGTATAACTTAAATTATTTTCGTCATGGTCCAAAATCAGCCGTTACGCCAGCCAGCCGACGTTCTGTATATATCTATATATGATATAAGTACAGAATGGTATATAAGCATGACGTTACGTGGAAATTCCAGAACTATGTAAAAGAATGTTCAATTATTTTCGCTATATGTACAAGGTCCAATATACATAAAAAAGAAAGAAACAATATGATAAATACAAAATTTATCACCTATCAATTATGTTTAAAGTTAAGAAAGTTAAGAAGTTAAGTACACGAGAAAGTGATAAAAAATATAGAAATAATTTCTGATTAAATTTCTTCAAAAAACTTTGAAGTGTTTTTTATTGAAATAATTTTCCAAGATCAAGAAAATTATTATCTGAATTATATGAATATAGATATCGTTATATGGAAATGTATATATTCTTTTCAATATTTTCTAGAACTAGAAAGTAGCCAGCAATATTATTAAAAATGTCAATAACTCTATTGCATTTTGACATTATATAATTTTCGAACAAAAGAAACAGAATAACGGAACATTATTCTCGATCCTTGATGAAATCATGGGAAATCCGCGAATAATCGCGGATTACAGGATTGTTTTCTGTTCACGCGCGCATGCAATGCCAATGACTGTTGTTTCATGCGATAAATGTTGTTAGGATTTTCCGAGTTGCTTCGTTTATCCTCTCCACACAAGCAATACCAGCCATGCGTCATGCACATTTCCTTCCTTCTTTGCAAAGTATTTTATTATATACACTTTCTATTGTCTACTAATGAGAATACTCTCTCTTTTGAATATTTTTTGTACCATCATATTTGTACCAATACTTCAATATTTACTTGAATATTTGAAGAAAGATAAGAACATTTCGCATTATTACTTATTCAAATTTTTATCAATAGAATATTAACTATCATTACTAATTATGTAATTAAAATAAAAGCAACAAAATTAACAAAAACTTATTTTGAAATGAGATAAAAAAATGAAAACAGAAACAAAGAATTATGAAATTATAAATTAATCACCTACCTTCATAATTCGGTTGTTCAAGATCTTGTGGTAAGGCAGGTATTTTTTTTCCAGGAAGAAGATAATTTCTTTCTATAGTGGTTAAAGGATCGGTAAGAGCTTTTGCAGAAGCAAGATCGCCAGTTGCACAAGCTAGGTGAAGAGCCGTGTTTCCACGAAAGTTTCTCAATGCTGGATTTGCACCTGCCAGAATTAATCCCCTAATAATCCTTGGTTGTCGTGCCAGTACAGCTAAGTGCAGGGGTGATTGACCATTATGATTCAAGATATTTAAAAGATACGAATGTGGTCTTGTAGAATTTCTTATTAAGCTGAACGTATCCTCTACAAAATCTTGCACTATGGCCATATGAAGTTGTCTAATAGAAAAATAAAAAAACAAATTTATAAATTTAATAAAAGATTTAAAAGAATTTTGAAGTTATAATGATTACAATGATTCAATTAATCAAAATTCTTCACAAAATATAAAATATGCGTAAAAGCATGGATTCACGCATAATAATATTATCATAAAAAACAGTTAAAATATTTAATAATATTTATTTTAATACTAATGACAATAATTAAGATTATTTGAAATAACACAATTAAACCTTAATTTCTTTCAATTTGTTTTCTTTGATTTTATTTATTATGTATTTTAATTTATTATGTACGCACATAATATTTTCATTGTAAAGATATATATGAAATAACATTGCTTTTTTATATTAATGTTTTAATTAATATACAAAAAAATTCTTTATATGTTAACATCCATTGGATCGACCAATATATTTGAAAATATTTTAATCATAATTTGAATTAAAATCATTTACGATGATCAAGCAATAAATAAAACATGTACCATTAATCGATATAGCAGAATTTGATCTAACCTACTTAAATGATCGTCATCCACGTGTATTTGTTTACAATAAAGATAAAAAATAACGGTTACTTTAAAAATTTTTTTTAAAAAAAGTCAAATCATAAAATTTTATTTATTAATAATAATTATTATATCGATTTAATTATGTTTAATGTGCTATATATGCTATGTATTAATCGGTATTTTTGATATCTTAAAAAGAATTTACTTAGCAGAATGTTTACTATCTTATTTTAATATGTTAATTATATAAAAAATTTTATTTTATATAGCAAATAATATAATTACTATCTTATAATGACATAATTTAAATAAGAAAATTAATTGAAAGAAAAAATTAAATTGATACATTATTGATACAATTAAGAAATAATAATTTTGAAGGAAGGAGAGTATTCTATGAAAATTACTTACATATCACCATTATCATTTTCATCATAATAAAGTTGTTGAAATTCATTACTGATTTGTTTTTTAGTAGATTGGTGCCATTTGCGTGATAATGTTGGAGCATCGTGTTGATCAAATTTATTAATATTTACCGGAGTTAATTCAACAGTAGGTTCAACTTGAACTTTGCAACTCATGAGTTGACTCAATTTTTCGCTTAAGCCAAGATCCACGCCACTATCTGATTTCATAGGGGTAACCGGTGTGTTTACAACATTCAATTCATAGTCATATAGATCAGAACTAATTTGAAGATTTCCACTGGATAAAAATCCGGAATCGGTATGACATTGTTCTTCGCACTTTAATTGCGTATTCACTGGAACATTATTTTCCATTGGTGCTGTCCTTGACGAATTCAACATTTTCGATATCGATTTTCGATCAATGTACAAAATTCAATTTTTTCCCGCTCGTCAAAAAAAAAAACTATGATTTTGATTTGTACATATACACAACGTATTGAGTATACGTATATTACGCTTTTTTAAAATCTTGATGCGATGCTTCTACGTAGTTTTCTGAATGAATAATTAATCGATTTTTACAATTTCGTTCGATTTTCCTTTCTCAAAACAACAGAACTTATTCGTTCTTGTTTCGTTCGTTCGCAAGCGACGCCACTGCTCCGTTTATTCGAGCAATCATTCGATTGTCGTTCGCCTCGAACAGCTGGCTTCTTTACATGTATTCGATTTTTCGTTGTCGTTGGATTCTCGTTTCGACAGTGTTTGTAAATATCGATGGCTAATTACGTCATTCTATAACTTCATTTATAAGAAAATATTTCACCTTAAATGTGAAAACTTATTTGATAGGAAAGATTATATACATATGAATTTGTATTTTTGATGAAAAAAACAAAGAAAGAAAATATAAATATATATATACATATATATATATATATATACTTAATAATTGTACGAAACTCCACACAACGCGCTGTCTGAAAACGAACTAACCGTATAACGTTATGTGACCGCGAGTCTGCGAGGCACAGTAGAACCTCTGGTGAATCTTGTGCGTGTGTGTTCGTATGCTCTCAAAGGAGAAAGGTAGGGGTGGGAAAACCCATCATGGCAAAGTCAGTAGTATGGTATACATATATGTACTTATTTATACATTTTATACTCAATTTAACTTGGCATTTAGATAACAAGTTCAGAAAAAAACTGAATCAAACATATTACAAATATTTTTCATATTTATTTAATTCATATTATTTTCTAATTTTATATGAAAATATTCGATTAATTATTTCATGTAAAATTATTCTAATTACAATATAGATAGATTTTATATATATATATATATATATATATATATATATATA